TTCTTTGCCTCAGTCTTCTCCGATAAAGAAAACAATGCCCGACCTGAAGAATTTGGAGCAAATGATTCAGCAGAGGAACACAGCCCAGAATAACTAAGGAGATAGTACAAGAATACTTGGCTAGTCTAGATGTATTCAAGTCTCCAGGGCCAGATGAACTGCATCCAAGAGTATTAAAAGAACTGGCAGATGTGATCTCAGAACCACTGGCAGTCATCTTTGAGAATTCCTGGAGAACAGGCGAAGTCCCGGCAGACTGGAGGAGGGCAAATGTTGTCCCTATTTTCAAAAAGGGGAAAGAGAGGACCCAAATAATTACCGCCCAGTCAGTCTGACATCAATACCAGGGAAGATTCTGGAGCAGATCATTAAGCAAACAGTCTGTGAGCACCTAGAAAGGAATGCTGTGATCACCAATAGTCAGCATGGATTTCTGAAAAATAAGTCATGTCAGACTAACCTGATCTCGTTTTTGACAGAATTACAAGCCTGGTAGATGAAGGGAATGCAGTGGATGTAGCCTACCTTGATTTCAGCAAGGCATTTGACAAGGTGCCCCATGATATTCTTGTAAAGAAGCTGGTAAAATGCGGTCTTGACTATGCTACCACTCAGTGGATTTGTAACTGGCTGACTGACCGAACCCAAAGGGTGCTCATCAATGGTTCCTCTTCATCCTGGAGAAGAGTGACTAGTGGGGTGCCACAGGGTTCTGTCTTGGGCCCCGTCTTATTCAACATCTTTATCAACGACTTGGATGATGGACTCAGGGGCATCCTGATCAAATTTGCAGATGACACCAAACTGGGAGGGGTGGCTAACACCCCAGAGGACAGGATCACACTTCAAAACGACCTTGACAGATTAGAGAACTGGACCAAAACAAACAAGATGAATATTAACAGGGAGAAATGTAAAGTATTGCACTTGGGCAAAAAAAATGAGAGGCACAAATACAAGATGGGTGACACCTGGCTTGAGAGCAGTACATGTCAAAAGGATCTAGGAGTCTTGGTTGACCACAAACTTGACATGAGCCAACAGTGTGACGCGGCAGCTAAAAAGCCAATGCAATTCTGGGCTGCATCAATAGGAGTATAGCATCTAGATCAAGGGAAGTAATAGTGCCACTGTATTCTGCTCTGGTCAGACCTCACCTGGAGTACTGTGTCCAGTTCTGGGCACCACAGTTCAAGAAGGACACTGACAAACTGGAACGTGTCCAGAGGAGGGCAACCAAAATGGTCAAAGGCCTGGAAACGATGCCTTATGAGGAATGGCTAAGGGAGCTGGGCATGTTTAGCCTGGAGAAGAGGAGGTTAAGGGGTGATATGATAGCCATGTTCAAATATATAAAAGGATGTCACATAGAGGAGGGAGAAAGGTTGTTTTCTGCTGCTCCAGAGAAGCGGACACGGAGCAATGGATCCAAACTACAAGAAAGAAGATTCCACCTAAACATTAGGAAGAACTTCCTGACAGTAAGAGCTGTTCGACAGTGGAATTTGCTGCCAAGGAGTGTGGTGGAGTCTCCTTCTTTGGAGATCTATAAGCAGAGGCTTGACAACCATATGTCAGGAGTGCTCTGATGGTGTTTCCTGCTTGGCAGGGGGTTGGACTCGATGGCCCTTGTGGTCTCTTCCAACTCTATGATTCTATGATTCTATGTAGCATTCCTTTTTAAAGACAGGTTTCCACCCACTGACCACCTTCCAATGGCTAAAAGGACATGATTCTGTATTAAAGCACAGAGAGATGCTCTAAATATATGAAAATATTTTCCCCTTGTGGATAAATTAAAGATTATCCCGTGTGGCAAATTTTATAAACAAGGTGCTAAACAAACATAAAACTTTAATGAAAAGATTGCACCCTCAAATATGTTACATAACATTCACCATTATTTCCATTATAGCTTTTTGAAATATTATGTGTTGGTGGTTTTGTAATATTTTTAATAAACTGTCTCATTTCAACATTAACATTTGTGTCAACATAATTATCAGTACAATTTTTGAAATGGCTTTCTAGACAGATGTGAATTCACTTCACAAACATACCAATATTTCATTTCAATGGCATTAGAGGATTAGGTTATGATTCTTTCTGTGTACACCCAAGGTTACTTTGGGAGAGAATCCGAGATATCCAAAATACCAGCATGGCTTCCATGCATTTCTTTAGCATGGTATACTCCTGTATGATACCATTCCATTCCACTGGACAGATTTCTCCCACTCAACATAGGATAGGACTTCTGTCCTGAACAACAAAGAGACTCTCAACATAAAGTGAAAGTATAGGCAAATATTTTTATATGTGAATATTTCCCTTTGAGATGAACTAAACCAATGCTTACAGAGTCAAATATATGTTATATAATAGTGCTCATTATACCCACCATACCCTTTTGAAACTTTCTGCATTGTTCGCTTCTGTGATCTAGAGTGGTTTTCGTTCCTCTGTTGATTCTGAGGGAGAGATTCTTAAACTCATTCTTCTAACCTTGTTACGTAGCACAAACCTGTAATACACACCCATGCCAACAGCAGCAGTCACCGTGGAAAGGACCAACACGCTTCCTACAATGCTACCTACACTGACACCATTCCAGTTTTTTGCAATTGGCCCACTGTCAATGCTGCCTCCATATCCTTCCTTTAGACAGTCAGGAGGGGCCCAACCATAAGAACAATGGCAGTGTTTGTGGTTGTTGCATATTCCCCTATTATGGCACTTTGTGGCATTGCAATCATACTGCAAGAGGGACACGTTCTTGCATTCCCTACTAATGCACATCATGCCAGTGCCACAAGGTGTACCGTCTTCTACTGCTCCAATATCAGCTACCTCCATTCCACTGTGGTAGTCTGTAGCCCAGCAGTTACTTTTGCCAATGGTGGTTTGAATGATGGTTTGGTGTTCCTCCAAGGTAGGTAGCCCATAAATATTACTACACTGCATTCGGCCACATAGAATATTTTCAGCATTGCATTTCTTAAAAATACCATGTTTTAGGCCACAGTTGCCAAAGCGATCACCTCGAGCATTCAGTCCTCTGAAACAATCCTCTGGAGCTCGAACGGTTTTTTTGCCAAATATCTTTTCACACTGCCCATTCGGAGTACTACAACGACCATGATAGCAATAGACTCCATCACCGCAAGGAGCACCATCTTGTACATAAACATCTTCCGGACACTGGTCCGAAGTCCCAGTGCAAAACTCAGGCAGGTCACAGATGCTAATACTCTTTCTGCAAATGGATCCAGCGGGACGGTACTTGCACCTGGCACAGCACAGTCCAGAAGAACAATTGGCAAATGGATGCAACATGCAGTCTGGCTTGCAACATTGATCCGATTGACACTGCGCAGCTGAACCACAATCACATTGCTCTCCTTTTTCTACTACTTTGTTCCCACAGTATTTCAGTTTATACATTTGATCAGGGTTTGGTGGAATCAACAAGCAAGGTGAGTCCATTAGATTGAAATATTTTTGGTAACTGCAGTTGCTAAACTTATCAGTCCGTGAGTACAAAGCAGACATAATGCAGGCACGTCGATCACATTTACAGTCTGATTCATCATGGCTCATACCAAGATTATGTCCAAATTCATGGGCAAAAAGTACAGAAAAATCAAACAAATTGAAATTTCTCGATACTTCAACACCAGTAGCCCTGTTATTACAAATTTGTGCTACATATGCCCGTCCAATATTCCTTCCATATGACCTGTATACAATTAAGTGAGCAGCATCATTCTTTAGATGGTTAAGTAGAATGTCATGTCTCCATACAGTAAAAGCTTTAAGTGTCCTTCCTAAAGTTTTACCAATATCTATGAGGTTCTTTTCCGACCATATCTCCAGTCCTGCTATAGACACTTCAACCAAAAATGGCTCAAAAAATGAATTTACCGTGTGGATGGTCTCAAGAAGTTTCATAGCTATATCAGTTTCATTTTTATTAAACTTAACATATCGTTCATGCTCCACCACAAATGCCACTTCTGCATGTCTCTTGTGTGGCCACCAGAGTTCTGCTGGAGGACTTCTGACAGCCACATGCTTTCTGTCTTGGATCATGGCCTCTTGATGCCTTTGCTCTTCCTCCGTCAACCCACACCTCATGTGCATGGCACCCTCCTCTATTTCCAGCCGATACACCACATGCTGAAAGGTAGCAGATGACTGGACAGGTTCAATTTGATATGTCTCATTGTTAAGTTGTAACAGGCCCCTGAGTCCCTCTGAGCAAGTGCTGAGAGTGACTGAAGAGAGAGGCTTGTCTTGTATGAAACCACTGTAGAAACAATCATCCCTGATGTAATGATAGTCAACCTGGAGGTCCCCTTCCTTATTGTACGTGAAGATGGGGAAGTCTTTAGGAACAATGCCCTTCTTCTGCTTGAGATGCACCACCTGGTCCTTCCCCTCAACCTGCAGCAGGTAGCTGACATACCGGGTTTCCTGTAGTCCATACCTGAAGCTCAGTTTCCTTGGGATGGTCACCTCATAAGAGGCATACCTAAAGCCCTGAGGTGGTATCTGGCCACCAGTCTCATTCAGGAGATTCCTCAAGAACATAATGAGCAGCCATGCCAGGCTGCCACTCATTTTCCCAGAAAGAGGAAAGAAGCTCTTGAAGCACCACCTCTGGCATCTCATCCCTGAGAGGAAGCCCCAAACAGTTGTTACCAGGTTAGTAGATAGATGGGAAGGAGGCTACATGTGAATTAGAAGAGGAGGAAGATATGTTGCCTAGCAACTGCCAGTGTGCTCCGTCTGTGGAATGGGGGTGGAGCTTGGAGGGTCAAAGATGGAACAGAATGGTAGAGGAAGAGCAAGTAAGAGAAGGTTCCTAAGAAGTTTCTGCCTGTGTGGGTTGCAGGAAGAAGTGCAAAAAAAGGAGTCTTATAGCACCCCATGGACTGACAAGTTTTATTTCGGCATCGGTCGGTGGACATGAGGCCACTTCATACAGTGGATGGGTTATGATCCTCGGTTCTCATGTATGGAATATGAAAAGTATTTTCTGTGACAATTCAATCAGCATTTAAATGTATGCAAAATATAGAAACTGGCTTAAAGATAAAGAACCATGTGAAAGGGGAGCAAGAAGATGTTGAAATTGTCCATCAACAACTAGCAACGTATGAGCAGGCACACACAGGTCACAGTCTTTCCCACTATGACAAACTGCCTTTCTATATAAATTATGGCCATTATTTCTACATTTACCTATAAATGAACAAATGCCAATTTTATGCCAATCTTTGCCACCTTGCATTTCCCTTTTTGGTGATGCATTTTCTCATTTTTAGTGATGTAAATGTGACCATCCCACACCTAATACTGGTGATGAGGTGGTCTGCATATATTCAAGTGGAAGGGCAGGGCCTGAACATCATGGGGCCCAATCAGGATAAAGTGGTACCAATTCTAACTTTTAGCTTTGCCTGCTACCTTCATCATCTGGAAGGAACATTAGACTTCCTGTGGCCGTTTCCCTATCTTATATGATTCAGGAGAATGAACCGAAAGAAAACATTGCGCTTTACGGAACGTCAAATGATAGATCAAGGCTATAATCACCAGAACAAGCCTTTGTGATGTGCGGCAGTTAATGGTGGTTGGCCAACAATGTAGCAAACACAAAAAACAAGAAAAATGTCATGAAAGATATAAAAGACTAAACCTGAAAGAGAAGCCTGGGTAATGTGCTGTATTTAAAATTCATAAGGAATCAGGAAAGAGAAAGGAATAATTTTAGGATTAAGGTGGAACAGATGGGATGGAATTTTGATAGTGGTGGAAGGCCTGTACTTATTTTAGATGGACTGAAAATAATGTCAGATAAATCATGCGGTAGTCCTGGTTAGTGAGATAATGGAATGTTTTAATAGACTTCTCATAGTGCCTCTAGGGACTATTAGGGTCAGGACAAAGTTATTCCCCCTTATTTCCTGGTTTTCCTTACTTTAGCAACTTTTCCCCTTCATTAGGGACTGTCTCAACTGAAAAGTGACATCCTGATCCAGTAACTACTCTCCACACAAGAAGGGGATGAAGAACCTGCAAGCACAGAATTCCTGTGCCATACATGGAACATGCATGTACCAGGTACATCTAATGTATGCACTGATCTGCCTTTTTCAAATTGGACAAAGCACTCTATGTAATCAGTGCAATTTTGAATTTCAACCCAGTCATTTTGAGGTTTCTTATTAAGTTCCCCTGAGCCTATATGCCCACATTAGCAGGCAAGGTGCAAACAGTGTAAAGATCATCAAAAAAATTATTACATTGTTTTGTACCATAAACAAGGTAGCACATCAAATCCCATGCTTGGTAAGGGAGCAGAGCGATCCATGGCTATCTGGTCAGTAGCTTGCTCAAACTTTTTCTATGACCCCCCCCATCCCGACCTGACCTGCTTAAGCATGCCATTTTACTTCAGATTATTTTCTGGTTTAAAATACAATTGGGCCTCAAAGATGACAGAATGCAGAGCCCTGCTTACTTATTTAAACTACAAGCTATACTGTTATTATTATTTTTTCCTTAAAAGAAGAGTTTGGATTTGATATCCCGCTTTATCACTACCCGAAGGAGTCTCAAAGTGGCTCACATTCTCCTTTCCCTTCCTCCCCCACAACAAACACTCTATGAGGTGAGTGGGGCTGAGAGGCTTCAAAGAAGTGTGACTAGCCCAAGGTCACCCAGCAGCTGCATGTGGAGGAGCAGAGACACAAACCAGGTTCCCCAGATTACGAGACTACCACTCTTAACCACTACACCACACTGGCTCTCCAAGCTATACTGTTATATGTATATGTTATATGAGGGGATATCATTCCAGTACGGGGTTTGAGATCACCACCGTTGAAGGACTAGGGAGGTCTGGCGGTGGGGGTAGATGTTATAGGTGAAGGGTTTTGAGATGCAGAGATGCTCGAACCCCTTCCAATCTACACCCCATCCCGAGGGACGAGGGTAGGGTGAGCAGGGATTACTCACCTCCGTCACTGGTGTTGTGCAATGCCAGGTCTATAGGCAATAAAACCACCACCATGCGAGACTTTTTTATCTCACAGGGGGTTGACCTGGCTTGTGTGACGGAGACCTGGGTGTGTGAAGGTGAAGTAGTCACCTTGCATGAGATGGCACTCCCGGGTTTCTCCGTCCTCCACCAGTCGCGGACTGAGGGTCGGGGGGATGGCTAGTGTTGTTAATCTGGGAGGATTGCTCTTTCAGGGCTCTGCCAGCAACATCGATCTCTGGCATTGAATGTGTTGGCCTGGTGTGGGGCACCAAGGAGAACTTGGCTGTCTGGCTGGTGTACCGACCACCTAGCACACCGGCAGCCACCCTGTCAGGCCTGCTGGAGGTGGTGGCAGGCTGGGCCTTGGAGTTCCCTAACCTATCGGTTCTGGGGGACTTCAACGTCCATGCCGATGCCATCCCTTCCTCTCGGGCTCTGGACCTGGTGTCTTCCGTGGTGACATTAGGGCTCTCCCAGTTTGTTTTGGGTCCCATACAGCAAGCAGGCCACACTCTGGAGCTTATCTTTGGGGCGGGTATAGATGTGGTCATGTCCCCCTTGTGGAATTGCCATAGTCTGATCACTACGCTCTGAAAGCCAGGATTAACTTCCCGCCCCCCCTCTCGCTTGGGTGGAGAACCTATTTGGGCTCACCCATGGAGGCTGATGGATCCTGATGGATTTTGTCAGGCCTTGTGGGACCCTGCTCCCCCTGGCAGCTCACTAGATGAGCTTGTCAAGAACTGGAATAACCAGCTCTTAGCAGCCATCAATGAGATTGCATCTAAGCGCCCTCTGCGACCCCACCGAAACCGGGCCCCCTGGTTTACCAAGGAGCTCTGGAAAATGAAACAGGACTTCAGACAGCTAGATCGAGTATGGCGGCATGCTCGCGACGGAGCCTCAAGAACATCTTATAAGATGCTTATGAAAGCCTAGGACAGGGGTCAGCAAACTTTTTCAGCAGGGTGCCAGTCCACTGTCCCTCAGATCTTGGGGGGGGGGGGCTGGACTATATCTTTTTTGGGGGAAATGAATGAATTTATATGCCCCACAAATAACCCAGAGATGCATTTTAAATAAAAGGGTACATTCTACTCATGTAAAAACACACTGATTCCCGGACCGTCTGTGGGCCGGATTTAGAAGGCAACCCGGGCCTCAGTTTGCCTACCCATGGAGATGGCAGTGAAAGCTGCTAAGAAGTTTTACATGTAGGATCACACTACCAAATGCAACCTAATCATGACCACAATAAAATAGAGACATCCTGGAAGTTTTGTTGTCTTCTGTTCATCCAATAGAGTTGATTCAATAGAGGTTTCAGTTCACTAGCTCTTTCTCCTGAAGGACCAACATGGATCCTAAACCTCTGGTGTTATTTGGAGACTGGTTAAGGAACTCAAACTTCCTTTATTCTTGAATAATACAAGGCTACGATAATTTGACAGCCACACAAAGTGTGAATCCCACTTAAAACAGCAGGGGATACTCACAAATATTTGAGTGCAGTATTGTGCCCTTTTGCAAATTGTCTTCGGTAACTTGCCTTAATTGAAAGATTCATATATGTTTGTTTGTTTTAGGGAGTCTTCATGCTGAAACTATTTTTGCAAGGCTCATCAGTTTCCATGTGAGCTCCAGTTGACAAAAGGTTGATACATGGATTATTTCATGAAATATACTGATGGGTGTTGTCAGACCTTTTAAATGTGGTAACTTTTCTGCTGTCGCTCCATTCCACTGAAGTTTCCAGCTTGTCGGGAGACAAGATGCCACCACTGCCTCATTCATGGTGCTACACACCCTTCATGATGATGCTGGACAAGTGGCAGCACAGCTGTGTGTGATGCTGACATCTGTGTGGGGTGTTGTGGGCTCAGTGGGTGGGGGAAGTATATTCCACTCTGGAGAGGATAAGGAAAGCACAGGAGGATGTTATCAGTGGCTTCCTAGCAGTCATGCAATTCCTTTCTCTTAAGGACACATAAAAAATGGATCCTGGGCATAATTACAAAGCATTTCTAAAGGAAGTCTGCTTTATCTATTCATCTGTGTATAGCACCATCAGTGAGTATGGTGGTTTAGGGAGGTCTCTGCCTCCAAGGAAGAGTGGGAGGAAATTCAACCAACCAACCAACCAACCAACCAACCAGTCAATAAAAACATACACCACACAGGACAACCAGATCATGGAACTATTGTAGCAACCACATCATGCATTTGATGAACATTTATGCCACAGTAAATGTTAGGCCATCCATGGCCATCTGTCATGGATGCTTTAGCTGCATTGCAGGGAGTTGGACTAGATTCTATGATTCTATGATTCAAAGTGCTGCAAGGGTACTGCAGTTGAATGTGGGGCTATTGTAGCGGCATGACTCGTGGGTGCTTTCTCCTGGAATGCAGTGACATGCTTTGAGCATAGTATTCTTTGGTAGGGTAAACCAAATCTTTTCAACCTTCACTCAAAAAAACATATTTGTGGCCTTCAGTCCACACACCAGTGTTGAGATGGTGATATAAGAAAAACATTATGAAAATGAATTTATTTATTTTTTGTTGGACTCTTCCATCTCCCAACGCCATTTGTATTTTACGGAGTGCAGTTCAAGAGCAATTTTAAAGGAAAACTGTGTCCAGTTGGCAGGAGATGATAGATAGATAGATGATTGATAGATAGATGATAGCTAGAGACATAGAGAGATAGAGAGATAGATATAGATATTGCAGAATAGGGGTAGTGAGGCATCTAAGCATGTACACCAAGTATAATGTAGTGTTCGTAATGTTCGTTTTAAGGACATTAACTCTGACCCATAGACTTAATCAGAGAACTGTCCATCTTTCTAAGACCCAACAGATTTCCCCCCTATTTACTTCCTAGTTTTAATGTGACCGTGTTTTCTACTTGATTAGAGACTAACCAGAGTCCTAAATATTTGATGACTTTTTACTGCAATCCAAACTCCCACAGTAATAATATGTGTGGGGGGGGGGGCAGCCAGGGGAAATGTCTTGGACCACTGGACTTGGACTATTTTGTCTTACATTCTGATAGATTGCTGGATTCTTGGATTAAAACCAGCATTTTGGAGACTGAGTTTTCTGTTTTGTGCTGCAATAACAGTGTTTAACGCAATAGGGCTTTAATGTGGAGCGTCATATTTTGAGATGTGTTGCTTGCACCTTTGTGCCTGGTTTTCCTTGTGATGCCTCATGACCCAGACTAAGAGCTTTGAAATAATAAAAAGGAGAAGGAGATGGAACGGGGGACATAATTCATTATATAGCATTTCCCAGTAAGCTTTAACCTTATTAAAAGACCACCACATATGATGAAAAGAACCTTCTTTCTCTTTACATTTCCAGCACTTATTTGATATAGATCTATACATTTTTTGCCAATTTACTCAATGTTAGATACCTGTCGATCTATCATTTTCATATAAATTTCTCTTAGACCATAACATGCTGTAAATTTAAATCCATATTCCACAATCGTTCCCATTGGGTGGGGAAGCCGCCTTGGTCAGAGGAAGCCCAAGAGGCGGTACCCGCATGGACACACTGCCTCTGTTGCAGAAGGGGTGCTGGTTTCTGGCAAGATCTCACCTTAGGCGGCGAAACGGAAGGCGCCACCCCTGGTTGGCACCACCATCCTATGCATTCTGGCACCAGCTGCAAACTCAATAGATTTGCTCAGGGCTTCTCTGCTCATTTACGGCTATGTAATTGGATAGGCTTACGTATCAGACATATTGTCTGCAACATTGGTGTATATAAGAATTGTGATTGGACTTAGCGTTTTATTGCTCTCATTATCTTATGATAAAGTTTTATTACATTGCATGATGTTGTACTTTTATGCATGCACCCTGCCAAGTGCCGCAGAATTTTTAATGACGACGGGTGGGCTTAGCAAAATAAATAATTGTTTTAAATAAATAAATAAAACAGTGATGCAAATGTGTGAGGGGCGATTGCTCTTGGAAATCCTCTTATTTATTAGATTTATAGACCGCCCTTCATCACAAGATTTCAGGGCAGTTCACAAGATAAAAATACAAAAGTACAAATAAATAGTTAAAACAAAAACAGCAAAAAAAAAGAAACCCCCTACCACAAACACATTTTAAAAGCTGTAGAATATTAATAAGCCAAAAATCCTGGTTGAAAAGAAATGTTTTTTGCCTCGCACCTAAAGATATATAATGAAGGTACCATGTGGTAGGGGCGCCGACATTGAGAGGGTGCTGTCACAACACCACCCAGCTCCTGGGTTCCTGAGCTGCCAGACAGAAGCTGGGATGAGCAAAGCAAAGATCTCGCTTGTCCCAGCTGCCGCCCAGCTCCTGGGCTGCTGGGCAGAGGCTGGAACTGGGGCATGTGGAATGCACCCGGCAGTGGGGTGTAGCAGCCCCCTCAGTTTTGGGTGGGTACTTCCTTCTGCCCAAAAAATATTGGGGGAACTGAAGCCCACTTAGCCCCTATACCCAGTGCGCCTGCTCCATGGTCTCCATACCTGCTAAAAAGAGGCAGGAAAAGACAACCAAAATGTTTGCGGGCCTGCAGCAATGTCCACTTCAACGATAGGGTCACAATATTTGCAGCTTTTTAGTTTAGTTTTAGTTTGGGGAAAGGGGACGCGGGTGGCGCTGTGGGTTAAACCACAGAGCCTAGGACTTGCTGATCAGAAGGTCGGCTGTTTGAATCTCCACGACGGGGTGAGTTCCCATTGCTCGGTCCCTGCTCCTGCCAACCAGCAGTTCGAAAGCACATCAAAGTGCAAGTAGATAAAGTATGGAAAGTAAACAGCATTTCCGTGCGCTGCTCTGGTTCGCCAGAAGCGGCTTAGCCATGCTGGCCACATGACCCGGAAGCTGTACACTGGCTCCCTCGGCCAATAAAGCAAGATGAGCCCCGCAACCCCAGAGTCGGCCACAACTGGACCTAACAGTCGGGGTCCCTTTACTTTACTTTTAGTTTGGGGGAAAAGGCGTGTAAGTGGGGGAATGATAGAGGTGCGTGAAATTACACATCATGCGGAAAAGTGGATGGAGTGGTGAGGAATTTCTCTTTCTTTCATTAATTCTAGAATCAGGGCTCATTCAATGTCAAAAGATACAGGACAGGGAAAAGGAACTATTTCTTCATATGGTGCATAAACTGTAGAATCATCACAAGACCTAATGTTGGCCACCGACTTGGATGGTTTTAAAAAACGGAATAGGTAAAATGATGGAAGATAAGCCCATTAATGCCTATGAGAGACATGCCTCTGAGTACCTGTTTCTGGAGATCCCAAGCGGGAGAATGATGCTATGCTCATTTCCTACTCGTGGGATTTCCTTAGATGTATGGCTGGCCTCTGTGAGAACAGAAAGCTGGACCAGAAGAGCTTTTGATCCAGTAGGGCTTTCCTTGTGGCAAGGAAGAGGTTTTGTGATAGTGCTTGACAAATGAATTCCTAGCCTAGGCAAAATCTGAACCAGGGACTTTCTTGCTCATAGTTCATACCATGCTCCCCTATACCAGATCATCCCTCTAGCCTAGCTTACTATTTTAGTCCTGTCCAGTCATTCAGCAACAGGTACTGAACATTCATGGTGCTGGTGGTGAAAGCTGGTTCATTTGCACTCTTGAACAGAGAATCTAAACAGCCCTGTGCAGACAATCAAATTAACCATGCATGCTTGTCAGGGGCAGAACGTTTCCTGCACACACGTATTCATATGTGTACAGCATCCACAGATACTGAACGACAGATCAGGGCTTTGATGTTTGAATCATAGACTTTTTAGAGTTGGAAGGAGCTGTCCAACTCACAACTCAAAGCAGGAATCTGCAGAACTCCTGGCATATGGCTCCTGAAATAGAGCTAGGAATCAAGAGGCCCATCGCCTCCAGAGGTAGCCTGTTCCACTGTTAAGCAGCTTGCAGTATTAGGAAGTTTCTCCTAATGTTTAGCCAAAATCTGCTTCCCTGCAAATTCCACCCATTAAATTGGTCTACCCTCTGGAGCAACAGAGAACAAGTCTGCTCTGTCTTCAGATATCTGAGGAATACTCACATCATATCACCACTTATTGGCTTTTTGGTTTATTGTCTCTTATCTTTGGAAGGGCAGGTGTCTGATGGGTTTAGCTTCCACAATGTTGAGTTCTTCTCTTCAAATTATTGTAAGACACCTTGCATAGGCATTTTCCAGAAAGGCGGTCCAAAAATATTTTAAAATGATAAAATAAATCAATCTTCTCTTTTCCATATTAAATGCACTCTGCTCTTTCAGCTGCTCTCCATGGCATCATTTTTGTTGACTTCATCTGAACATCATCCCACCACCATCAGCAACAATGGAAGTTGTGGTCCAACAACATTTGGAGACCCAGGCTTGGGAGGAGACTGCTCTAGCTTGTCAATGCCTTTCTTAAAATGTGGCAGTTGGACCTGGATCCTGAAGGGATGGCTTGCGTGTGTGCATGGGCCACACCCCCACTCAAGCCACTTGTTCTTCAGCTGAGTCCATTCACAACGATGCACTTAGGTGATTATAGACTCTGGATTTAATGGTTTTATCCAAGGCTTTTTTTCAACTGGAGTTCATGGAGCTTATCTCTGGCACCTCTCAAATGGGTGCCATTGTCATTCTCAGAGTACAAAGGAGGCATTCATGGCGAGCTCTGGCACCTCTTTTTCAAACAAAAATAAAAATATGGCACTGGTTTTATCCTTCTCTGAGGGAGTTCTGCCTCCAAAGTGTTGCCCTGAGTGTACCACTATCCCTTCAAATAAATAACGGATTAGTAAAGGAAGCGCGAAGAGGGAGGAGACCCAAGGGGCCTGTCCACACGTGTGTACCGAGGGGGAAACCATCCATCTGCCTTCTGCCCGTGTGGACTAGAGAACGCCTTCCCCGCACTGAGAGAGGGCGCGTGCACACGAGCGCGCCATGAGGGGCCGTCACTCCCTCATGAATTTGCGACAGAGCCGTCTCCCTTCCGAACCCATCATCTGTGTGGCGCGCGTTAAGTAACCCTTGGCGCCAAAGGCGCTGAAAAGCGCGCGCTCCGCCGCCGCCATCCCCGTTGTGTGCGCGAGTGTGTGTGTGTTTGTGTATCTGCTGAGGGGCGCCAGGGCGGGAAGGAAGGAGGGAGGGAGGGTAGCGGCGGTCGGAGCAGGAAGGCGGGAGGAATAGCGCATGTCTTCATTTCTGAGCGCAGCCACTAGACTCCTCTCTCCCCAGCACCACCAAACTCTCCACCATCTTTTGCATGTGAAACATTTGCAGCCGGACAGAAACCTCTGCCAGGGCTATGGAGACTGCGGGAAAAATCCGCCTCAGCAGGATGGCTTGCTGAGGGGAAGAAGGAAGGCGGGAGGGAAGAGAGAGAGAGCTTTATCCAGAGACGAAAGGGACGAAAGAAGAAGGGGGGAGAAAAAGAGAAGGGAGGGGGAGGGGGAAAAAACCACCCACCCTCTTCTCTTTTCTTCCCTACCCCATTTTTAATTTTTTCCCCTCCCTCCCCCCCTTTTCTCAATTTTGTGTCCTGTCCCCCCTTCCCTCCCCCACCACCAGCGTGTCCTCAATGCCTCTCTGAACAACATCTAGGGAGAGAGCGTGAGGAGGAGACCCGGGGAGGCAAAAGAGAAAGAAGAAGATGAGGATTATTTGCAGACAGCTTGTCTTGTTGTTTTCTGGCTTTTGGGGACTCGCAATGGGCGCTTTTCCTAGCAGCGTGCAAATAGGTAAGCGCTGCATTGGGCTGGGAGGAAGAGGAGGGTGGCGGGGGAGGGGGAGGACGGGACGGGGTGGAGGGGACAGAAAGAGTGGGGAGGGGAGGGGGAGAAAGGAAGAGGGTGGGAGGTCAAATGCGGGCCGCAGGAATTGGGGGGCGAGGGGATGGAGAGCCCTTCCATATACCCTCTTTCCTGCCCTCGTGTTTGCGTGATGGGGAGCAGGGCGGCGTGGAAGGGGGGGGGAGATGGTGATGCTTATGCCTCCGGGGTAGGGAGAGTCATGCATGTGTGAATGCGTGCGTGTTGTGTATAGTGTGTTGGCAAACTTGGGAAGATGCTCTCTGAGCCAACCCCCCCCCCCCGCAAGGCTCACCCTTGAGCTGCCTGCATCCCCAATTCAGGATGCTCTGTGGAACCTCGTCTAGCACAGCCTGCACGTTGCAGTAACCTATTTGCCACGGAGCGGGAGGAGGGATAGCTGTTCTTGCTCCAGAGCCTTTCCGGGCACTACTTGGAAACTTAGAGCATTTCCACCCCCCACCCCCCGCTAATGTCGATATTCCCAACCCCCTGGCCTCCCCCTCCCTAGCACCAGCTTGGGTCTGTGCCTCTTCTTTGCCTGGTCCAGGTTGCCTTCCCTTTCTGCTTCCCCCCATCTTTGGATGGGACGCAGCTCTTGAATCCCTTCCAGTTGCAGCTCCATCACTGCATCATTTCTCATGCACTCCAAAAGGTGTTGCTAATAAGGCTGCCGGCCCATAGGCTGCAGAGGGACAAAGTTCGTGATGCTCCACTTCCCTATAGATTATTCTCCCTGGTGTCCCAAGGTAAATGTATATCTGCAAAGGCACGTAGAAAGGGAACGTGCCCGTATACCCCCCAACAGTTGTCTCAATAGAAGATCCACTCTTTAATCTGCCTGCCACTGAATACCAGGGAGGGCCAATTTAGCAATGTGTTCAACGTTAACAGAGATGGATGCTAAATGGTTTCAAAGGTCGCTCTCATCACAAGAGATATGGCTATTTAAGGCATGGAAAAGCAGGACCAGTGCAGCTCGGGAGCCCCACTATTGGAAAAACAGGAGCTGGGATCCTGAAAGTCTCGTAAACCTCATATCTCCGTGTGCATAAACATGTATTTTTTACAAGGAGGACCTAAGGATGCTGTTTAATAATAATGTAGAGCTGTTTTCACTATAGCTGCTGCCTGACACAGAAACAATTAACTGTGACACTTTTTATTGTTTGGTATCATTTATTTATTGGTAGGTGGCCTCTTCATCCGAAACACAGATCAGGAATATACTGCTTTTCGATTAGCAATTTTTCTTCACAACACCAGCCCCAACGCATCTGAAGCACCTTTTAATTTGGTTCCTCATGTAGACAACATTGAAACAGCAAACAGCTTCGCTGTAACAAATGCCTGTAAGTAAAAAAAAAAGTCATTTATGTAAAGTTGCCGTCAGATGACAGTGAAATTAAGAAGAGAAAGCATAATTACTTTCCTCTTCAGTTTCAAAGTCCCCGTTGCCTGAATGCATTGAAACCCTAGTTAGTTTCTATCCTTGGTGAAATCCCTTAGGCTTCCTTGTACTGACTAACTGGATATGGCATTTACTTTAGCATTATTACTGTAGTTTCTTGCTTTCTGGTTTCTATGGTGATGCATTTTGTAGTTGTAAGAGTGTGTGTGTGTGTGTGTGTCTTGATCAATTTAGCAGCCTCCACAATCTCTCCTCTCTGCCAACAGGATATGGCATGCCTTGTCTGTGTTTGGAAATAACCCCTAATATTTGTGATCACAAGTGCTTTCTAATGGCTAGAGCAGAAAGGCGGCTGTGAAAGCAGTGGTGTGCAGGGTAATATATTGGAGTAGCTTGACACTGCAGTTGATCTGGTGATGTCACTTGAGGCTGCCCTGCTCCTATATTCTGGGTTGTAAATGTCGCTTATCATCTCGTAATGCATACATCCTGTGGATATGTCTCCGTGCATCCATACATTGGTGCCAAGTCAAGTTAGTATCTGATCTACTTGATTGCACACACCACCCCAGCTGGAACTGTGCCCCTGTGTATACGCGCTAGTGCATTTGCCACATATTCTTTAAAAGGATGGTTTTCCCCCAGATATGATAGATTGTTGTTGTTGTTGTTTTTAAAGGATATATCTGAAGACCCCCATTTTCAGCATCCCAGCCTGCTAAAACACTGAGCAGGACATATGTGAAACTGAGAGCAGGAAGGCACGCAAATCATGCCTCTTGTTTCCATCAATTCAGCTTCAGTGGATTTGGTAGCTCTGCAAAATCAGAGCTATCTGTGTCACAGTGAAAAACCTCTTTCTTTTAAATTCAGTTATGAATCTTGAAAAATGTACGTGCATCATTTCAACTTCCAGTTCTCCCACATGCCTTCTCCCCCTCCCTTTACGGCATCATTGGTTTGTTTGCTTTGTCCTTAAACAAGCAGTTCCAAACACTATTTCTTTCAGAGGTAGAAATGTATTGCAGAGGATTTTCTTAGTGCATACCCTTAGAGTATATACTTACAAAAAAACAACAACTGAACTTTCTCGCATTAATATCTAATATGATATTTTACATCTAAACATCAGGATACATCTCATAAGCTTGTTCCAAAAGACAACCTGCGGGGCAGCCGTCAAGTGGAATTGGAGCGATTCCTTTAAGTTTTTCATGACCTTGGCACCTTGTTTAACAAGGAAAGCTTCAAAATCCACATAGTATGCTCTCCTCTTCCCAAGATGTCTTATGCAGAATGATTTATGCTACATAAGTGGGAATTCTTATGCTATATATTGATAGTACTGGAGGAAAGATTCCTGCCAAAGTATGCTTCGTTGACAAGTGTTGCAGTCTCCTCGAGGTTTTTGCAGGCACTGGGCATGGGTTTCCCAACTCGAGTTAACACTGCATGTTTACAGCTTTGGGGTACTTATATTCAAAGGGTTTGAGAACCTGAGGTTGCATCCTGCCCTCCGACATTGTTTTAGAGATTATGCTATACGGTACTGTCAAGCATCTTTGCTTAGGATATCAAGTATTTTGCATAAGCACACAGCTAATCAAGAGATTTTGGGGGCAATTCTGATATATATGGAATCACACACACACACACGCATGGAAGAATGATTTTGGAAGCAGCAATTATGGTTCTCTGGATTCAACGATTAACTAGTTTTAATTTTCTGTGATGCAGGCAAAGCTCTTAAGTGATGCTATCTTTTCTCCTGGGTTCTTTCCCCCCTCCCCGCCATCTTTTAAAACAGTGTTGCAGTTCTAAACAATTTTAGTAATCGATTGGTGACAAATTATCTCTCACACAGTGGAATCTTAAGGGAAATTATGTGCATAATTTAAAGTACTCTGACAGACAATGCTCAAGCCATACTTCCAGTTGTGTCTGTATCCACGCTGGGCATGGTGCACTTGGAGTCAAGTCTCATTTGTTTTGATGGATAATTTCAGCATGTACTCTGCCCACTCACATGGATGAAACTTCATTTAGCTGGATGGACCCTTTAAGGGCAGCTGCTTTTCTTTCTTTTGTATGTGTGGCTTGAAGTTGTTGGGTTTTGTATTTTTGGAAAGGGGCAGTCGGAATTATTTCAGTGTTTGGAGAAAAACTGCTAATGAAACATGGGCGAACTGACTGACAAATGAATGAACATATCACATGTCCCTTAAGCTACACATGAGCAGAATCCTGAAAAAAAATCAATTGTCTGATAGCTGGAGGACATTGGTTTCCATGTGATTGCATTTGCTGGGTTGACAGAAGCTTCCAAAGCACAGATGTGTGAGATGTTCTAACCTAATTAAAGATCTTTATGGGGAGGGGAGAATGCAGTAACTAATACTGTGACAAGCCTGACCAATCTGATTATTTTGGAGTGGCTTTTGTGGGGAAAACGATGGCAAAATTCAGAGCAATTCAGTTTAGAACACAAGTGTGTGTGTGTATCCCAAAATGATACGGTACAAATGCCTCTCAGCTACTGGACAGAAATGAATATTCATGTAAGGTCAAGCATAAAGATCTAAGACGTGATCAGTTTGCTTTTTCCCTGTTTTTCATTTCACTGCAGAGGTTACTTTTTGAAGCTGCAGTGCCTGGACCATTTTGTGGGTTAGGGACAACGAACAAGGAGCCTGAAGGAGCTGTGTCTTAAAGATGAACTAGCATAATCAGGAATGATACAGTAGATGCATGTGGAATCAACTGGATTTTCTCTCTCTCTCTCTTTGGTAGACTGCCATGATGAGCTGGCTGCTTTTCTGGCACCTTGATATTTGAATGCAAACACTTACAGACTTAAATCTATTCTCTTATGTTTTGCTTTGTACAAAGCCGAAGATATGTCCTATTTGTTCTGGCTTTGTACAGGCCCCAAACCTTAAGAAACACAGGTTATTTTAGCATATAGATTCTGTTGTGGTTCAATAAAACTGACATGATTTATGTTAGTTTAGTTCTCATTTCCTCCTGTTTATGTGCTGAGCCTTCCCCCCCCCCCCATATATTGCTTTCGTAGTGCATATTTTCTTGCAGGTGAGAGAAAAGTGTGTTAAATGAAATTGGGCTACAGTTTATTGCTAAATATGGATTGTGCATAACTTTAATTGCTACAGTGTTATAAAACTTAAATCCGTATCATTAGAGCAGGGTTCCATAGTGATTGGCATAATATATGCAGAAATATATATTTGCAACTGCACTTTTTAAGCTCCAAATGACATTTGGTTTTTAATGGCCTGTATAGGAGAATATTTGTTCCACTTCATGTT